TCCATTTGTTATCTTGACATATATTTGATATTTACATGCACATTCATTTCATTTCCATTCAATCTTGTTCCCCAACATTCCTTTTGGTGATTCCATGTTTTGTTTTTGTTACTGCAGATGTGTTGTTGTCTTGGTGCTTTACAATACCAGGTTCTCCTCGAGATTTCACTTATACCAGACACCTTGATAGCTACAACCTCAGTGTTTGCATCTCCTTGTGCAACGACTGAGGTAAGACTATTTATTTGCTAAGACTAGATACAATGCTCACTATTCCCTGTAGTCTAACTCTGTGTATCTAGGTGAATACAAAGTGTTTGCATCCCCTCGCATGATGACTGAGTCTAACTACGTGTATCTAGATACCGTGCATGCTACTTCTTAACCTCCATGACAAGGTAATTCTGAGATAATAAACAGAGACAAAGCCTGCCAAACTGGGCTCGGATAAGCATCGGCTATTTATAAAAAATGTTCTCAGAAGATTATTTGAACTGACATCCCAGCACATCTTCAATAATTTCACAATAATCTTGGCAGGGTTATGAAGATTGTTATCCATAAGCAGCTTTACAATAACTGCTTAAGTAATCTTTCAGGTATTTCAGGCTCCGGTTATTTGAAAGCCAGTAGGGTGGTTCCTGATAATCTTTTTGATAACATTTCAAATATCTGAGGCTGTTGTTGCTTGAGAGCTAGCAGGGGCATTTTTGATAACACTTTTAAATAAAAACAAGTTATTTACTTGAGCCCAGATAATCCCCATTTAAAATATCTTTTTGATATCTTTCAAATAATAAGTCTGTTTTTATCTTGAAATGCTTGCAGTGATGGCTCCAGTGTGAGTACCTGACCTCACATCTGTGTTGCACAATTTTTCAAATTTCCATTTCTGCATGAGTGCCGTTAGTTATGCACATGGCTGTAATACCAATTCTTCTTTCCATCTTTCTCTCCTTGTCAACCTTCTTTTTTTGCACCAACCTTGATCTTATCATAATTCTTCCTATAATCACCATAGATGATTACATTCATGAGCTTGCAGAATTCCTTATTACTACCACCATCCCCTTTTTGTATTTTTACTTTGTTTTTGACCCCATACCTCTGTCATCACCCTCCTAAATACACCCTTGTCCATTTCCTCCCCTCCTTTGTTGTCCTTTTCCAGCAATAATGTGTTCTTGCCAGACCCTTTGGACAAAGGCCTGTTCAATATTGTGAACATCCCCATCTCCCCTACACCTCCTTTTTTTTACCCAGAACATCCTCTGATTGCAGTGGGAGTATAGTTTTCACAGCGTTAGAACTGGTCAGGTCACTAGTGGGAAATCTGTCAATGCTTTTCTGTAGTTTCCACCCCTTTGACAGCTTGTTATCCCAGAGAGCAAGGCAGAGGAGAAGTAGGCTGCTGCTCAAACCTGGGTGACACCAACATTCTTGCTCTCATGGCCTACTATTCTTCTGCTCACATCTGTCACACCTTTGAGGCATTTTCCAATGTTGTTAGCTGGAACACTCCAGTGGGCACTGCTGGCCTCTGTTTGCTTGACATTGCTGAGCTCTTATCCAATGGCTATTTCTGCAGCAACATTATTGATCATGTCTTGTGCATGATCTGCAACTGGACCAGTCAGTGCCTATCTTGTTCATTGTCAGCTCTATTAATACCCTCAACTTTTAAATACCTTTTCTATTCCCAATTCAAGACACTGTGTAATGGGAGCTGTTCCACATCCCTACTAATGACAGCCTTTGTCGTTTTTGAGATGTTAGCAGCAAGATTAATAGCAGCAACTTTAACAGCATCACCCATTCAATGCACAATCCCCACCTTGATCAATATATTGCAGCCTTGTTTGACACACACACTAGTCAACCTTTGATTAGCAACTCACTCAATGCAATGCCTGCTAATGCAATCACACAGGAAATGTTGATGATTATTGCATGTTTGCTCATGCATGTGGTCTTAAACTCCACCTGATGATCTTGCCTCTTGATTATTCTACCCAGGACAATGTATATTTTTGTGGCATTATTATATACAAACACAATTGAGTGTGCAATATTTTATCATGTCCAGTCATGATCTCTACACACCAAGTTTTCAAAATGTGCAAAATGTGCTTTTCTTCTCCTAACACACATGGGCAGCCCCTATGCACTAGTATATATTTACACTTTATTTGATTCATAGTCACTTACTGGTTTGTAGCACAATCTGAGCCTTTCAGGAAACATTGTCTTCTCACACTTTGCAACAACAGACTCAACATTATTTTTCCTTCTTGCATCCCTCAGTTTCCTTCCCTCCCAGGATATGCAGGTCAGGTCTTCGAGAATGGATGGTCAATGGATGGGTCAAATACCTGAGGATATTGAGACAACAGTGACCAGCAGCCAACCAACCTTGTTCCGGTGGCTGCCCTCACCCATTAGTTGAGTAGCCTAGTAGGGTACCCTTTTGCAGGTCTGTATCAAGGTGGCCACCACCCCAGCCTAATGATAGGTGCTCCTGGTTTGCATATAGATATATTCACCAACAGCAAGTAGAGACAGCCATACCCCAGGAGGGTGGTGAACACTGGTCAGGGTACCTGGTGGATGTCAGGACAGTCCAAAGGTAGCAGGTGAGGGGCTCCAAGCAGTAATATCCATCTGGACTCAGTATATGCCTGTCCTTAACATGCACCACCCACACCAATATATTCATACAGCCTAGTTTAATATTGGTTATATTGACTTTATACTGGGCTATGGCCAGATGCAGAAGGATTCACCTAAGGTGCCATGGCTGATCTGACATTAGCTAAATACACCTGTTCAAAGCCTTTTTTTTGCCTTACTGCTCTTGGATCAGCCTGACATAGGTTGAATACCAAATCAGAACCTTTTCCCTGCCACCATTGGACTGTCCCAATGTCTACTAAACACCCTATCTGGAGCCCTTTACCTGCAGTCCTAGGGCCACCCCAACAGCAACCAGATACCCTATCCAGAGAGATTCACCTATGGTGCTGTAGTTGTTCTAATTTTAGCTAGCTACCCCAGAGCCCCTCATCTACCACCCTTGGACCATCCTAACACAATGTCACATCCATGCATTTCCAGTCAACCTCCAATCCATGTTCGCTTCTTCAGTACTGCTTCGGTATCTTTGGCAGCTACGGAGTAGATGCTGACACACTCGGGAATTATCAGTCAGCATGTTTTCTTGTGACCAACTCACTCCACATTCTACCTGTCATTACTTTACACCTGTTATTATTCCGCAGTTATGCCTGTCATGTTTTGTATCCTTACGACCTTCAGTCTTCTTTGGTGATTACTCATGATACTCCACACTTACTCCAGTAGCTATGCGGAGCTTATCCGAAAATCCGGACTTACAATATAAATAGTGGTAGCATTCAACTTGTATTTAATAGTATGAATACTGATTTACTCCTGCCCCAACATTCCTGTGGCCTTTGACATTCTTTTGTGCTTGTCATCTCTATCTAAATCATACTCCAAGTCGACTTGAAGTCGACTTGTCATCTCCATCATACTCTGCCGTACTTAGCATCTTCTCCTTGCTTCTACACACATCTCCTTTACCTTCACTATCTTCAGTTCACCTCCAGTCCATCTCCACACTTCTTCATACCTTCGCTAGCATCTTCGGGACACAGTATCCCTAGTGGAGCATAGCTTGAATGTCCCAGTTCTCCCTGGGCAGACACAGTGTTGACACACAAGATACTATATCCAGAGCTGTTTCCCTACTGCCCTAGGGCTGTCCTGACATGCACTAGATACCCTATTCAGAGCCCCTCATCTGCCACTGTTGAGTTGTCTTGACATTGGCTGGATACCCTATACAGAGTCCTTCAGCTAGCCATCCTGACATCAGTTGAATACCTGCCTCTCATCTGCCACTGCTGGACTATTCTGATGTTCACTAAATACCCTATCTGGAAGGGTTTACTTGTGCTACTATGGTCATTCTAACATGGGCTGGGTATCCCCATCCAGAGTCCCTTACCTGCCACCCTTGGGTTGTCCTGACATCCACCAGATACCCTGGGTTGTGACCACCACCTCCTGGGGCATGGCCACTCCAATCTGCTGGTGGTGAGTATATGCATATGTACAACAGAGGCAGCTATCACTAGGCCAGAGTAGCAGCTGCCTCAACACAGACCTGCAGGAGATTATTCTACTAGGCTACCCAGCTGCTGGGTGAGGTGGCTGCCAGAACAAGGTCAACCAACTGCTAGTTGCTGCTGTCCCAACATTCTCAAGTATTTGACCCATTTGCTGACCAGACATCCTTGAAGACCTGACCTGCATATCCTGTGATGGCAACAAAAGTAATCAGATACATCTGAACAGCTGAGTTGCAGCCAACAAGCACTTGCCAGAAGTTTGAAGTGTGAATCAAATGTGGTCTTGATGTCACAGACATCACCAAGGTGAGCCTCAAGCTAGGCAAGACTTATGGACTAGTTGTGCCCTCTAAGCTTTCTGAGGAATGTGAGGAATGCTTCAAGCTTATCAATGCCAGTGTTGCCTATCTAAATTGGTTGCGAAGAGTTAAGGAGGCCCTCTTAATAACACAGAAAATATAAATCAATAAATAGACTATCATTTGACAGTTGTAGTACAGGGGGTAAAGAAATGAACTGGCAATGGTATCAACAAAATAGAGTGAATGCAAGATATGCACATGCAGATAGCAGCAATGTGTTGGTGAAAGCATTGAGCAGAAACTTGAAAAGTAAGTGCACTGAGGGGATGGATAGAGGCAAAGTCAATGGCAGCTTGAATGTCATTTGTATTAAGTGTGATGTTTGTAAGTGAATTAATAGTACAGAGTAACTTGATTGCATGTTGGAAAGTCAACAAAAAAAATTGCCAGTGTGCCTGGGGTGCCTTGGGTGACAACATGCCTATTGTCCAGAATAATGTCCTTGAGCAATCAAATCAACATACACAGGCTTTATAATACAATAGGAGTTTGTGAATGTAAAAAAATAGAATAGAACTCACACTTGATATTATGTTTGTAATCAAGGTCAAGGGTGAGCCCATCATCCCCAACAAAGTAGTTCAGGCTGGGCATCAGATGAACAGTGCCACAAATAACTCTGAGCTTGCTGACTGCACAGAGCTCATCAAGTTTGTGCTTGAGGAGGTAGTTGTAGAACCCACAATAGTGAGTTGCATTTCTATCTGTGCCAACAGATCATATTGGGCCAACCTTGTTGCAAAGTGGCTGATCTGCTCCAACTGTAGATAGCCACATGCATGATATCCACAATTTGAGTCAGCAACTTAGACTTGCATGATGCTGCAGTTAGAATGGAGCAGATACTGTCATCACTCCACTTGGTTACTACAACAACCTGTTGAATGTATCACTTACAGCCATTATGTACAATTACCCAAGATATCAGACAATCAATCAGACTATTACTCAGACTATGATGTCACTGAGTTACACTAGCTACCTATAGCATAAACTTTGCATTATACAGTTGTTACTGTCATCACTGCAAACAATTCATGATAATTAGCCTGAAATACTTGAAAAATACTGTAAACATTAAGTTGAACCATTCTCAGTAATTATTTATTTATTACTGTAAAAACTACCTTGAACAATCATGATAAGGAGTAAGCAATTACTTGAAATGCCATTGAGAACATTACCATAAAAATAGTTCAGAGTAATGTTTACAATAAAGTGTGGCTAGCTTACTGTAAATTACCATAAACTGCTTTTAAAGTAATGTTCATGATAATATGCTGAGGCTTACTTGAAAATTACTAAAGACAGTAGTTTTGATAACATACAAAGTAAGTTTATGATAATCCAACTTGCATTATCATGACTCAAACCCACAATAAACGGAAGAAAA